TAACAGAACAATCGTATGTTATTACTAAATGAGTGAATCTCTGTAGAAAGCACATACGAGACACATGTCGATCTCTTCCTTCAGCCACCTCCCTCTGACATCCCATCTCTTCTCCAGATCTGAGACTCAGCTCTCCAAAGAAACAGGTCCCAAAACACTCAGCAAGGGCTGAGTTTGAGGCCAGCCAAGGGACTTGGATAAAAAGACCTGTGTGGGAACTCCTGCACTAGAGAACAGCTAAGTGTTTCCTAAGAAAGCTGAGCAAGGCAAAACTAAGAAGCAGATGAGTGCTGTGGAATCATTCTCTTGTACATTCTAAAGATTTGTCACTCAAATTGGTTTAATAAAATGCTGATTGGCCAGTAGCCAGACAGGAAGTATAAGTGGGGCAACCAAACTAAAAATGCTGGGAAGAGGAAGGGCAGAGTCAGGAGTTACCAGACAGATGCTGTTGCTGGAGAGCTTCTCTCCAGGTTCCACCAAGCCCCACAGTCCCACAATCCAAGTATAAAATAATCACTCAGACGCTTATGTTACTTATGAACTGTATGGCCGTGGCAAGCTTCTTGCTAACTGTTCTTATATCTTAAATTAACCCATTTCTATAAATCTATACCTTGCCACGTGGCTCGTGGCTTACCGGCATCTTTACATGTTGCTTGTCCTGGCAGTGGCTGCAGTGTCTCCCCCTCCTTCTTCCTGTTTCCCCAATTCTCCTCTCTCCTTGTCCCGCCTATACTTCCTGTCTGGTCACTGGCCATCAGTGTTTTGTTTATATAGAGTGATATCCACAGCAAGATGCAGAGAAGGCAAGATGAGAATGTCACATTTAGAAAAGGTACCAAGCCATGTGACTAAACATAGATAAGAATTATGGATTAATTTAAGCATAAGAGCTAGTTAGTAGTAAGCCTGAGCTACCAGCTGAGCATTTATAGGTAATATTAAGCCTCCAAGTCAATTATTTGGGAAGCAGCTGCTGGGTATTTGGAAGTTGCTGGCCAGACACAGAAACTTCTGCCTACAGATAAGTTTCCAGGCTCTGCTGTTCAGAGGGTCAAGGAAGAGAAGTTAAGCATCTGGGAAGAGACTCACTAGAGGCTTTATGTGTTTCTATAGTTCATTGTGTTTAAAGCTTTGTCACCCTGAGGTAAGCATATTCGCCCAGGTCCATGGTCTGTGGTTTGCCCATGAGTGTAGACACTGTTTTGCATGTCATTCTGCAGACTATTGCCCACCTTGCTAAGAGACACCTTAGATATTTATGGTGGTGAACTATTATTACATATATAAAAACTAAACTAGTGCTTTACATGAAGAGAAAATCATTCAAAGAAGGAAGAGAGTCCACAACATCTTTCAGGCAGTCCCTATCACAGACTCTGCCAAGAGTTCTAGTTGCAAAACATTGATTTTTACAACACAATAAACTTCATAAATGGCAAAAATATGAACTTGTTTGCTTGGTGGATTTTATTAATCATGCAGACTCATAGTCAAATACAGATAATACCAGTGGAGAAAAGACCCCAAGGAGAGACAATCAATAAAAGAGATTTTACAAAATGAATTTAAAGAATTCTTATCCTTAGATTCAAAGGCCAGGTCTGATGACTGTATTGAAGAATTAGCATTTGTCCCCATGTTTGGAGCAAAGGCAAAGAAAGGCCCATCAGAACTTTGTGATTAAGCAGAATGGAGGGGGGCTAATTTTAAGGAATCTCTTATAGCCAGCTGTGTTGTTTGCACCAACAGAAACTTCCAGAATCCCAATAAAAAGCTGAGTCTAACAAGCCAGTCCAGACTGGCTCATTATCCGTGGCCAGGTCTTTGAATCCACCTATCAGAGAGAGGCTCCTCAATGTGTCCCTCTTGCTGCTGTCTTGGGCATCACCTTTCCCAGGTTGTACTTCACACAGAAGCAACATCTCTGTGCTGCATAGGCAAATCCCAGTTCTTAGCTAGTTACTTCGGTCCAGCAGTGGCTGGTCACTAATAAGCTGCATGTATTCTGTGAGGAGTCCCCTTGCCTTCAATACAATCTGCTAATAACTCCCTTAGAATACACTGTCCAGATTCTTCATTTTAGTTTATGGTAGTTTTGAGATGGAGTCTTAGGTAGCCAAGGCTGGCCTTGAACTTACTATGGAGCCAAGGATGACTCTAAATATCTGATCCTCTCACCTCCACCTCCTGAGTGCTGGGATTACAGATGTGAGCCGCCACCCCGGTTTATGTGGTGCTTAGAGCATGCTATGCACACACTGCTGTATCGACTGAACTCCAGCTCCAGCTCCAGGGGCAGGCAGTCTCTTGTTTCTTCATTTGCACTAATCTAATGATGGAAGAGTAGGGCTGCCGGTGTTCTTTTGTTCTCTCTATGCTGTGATGTGACCTTTCTTCTGTTGGGGTTGTGGCCTGATTAATCTCTAGGAGTTTTCTTTTTGAGACAAGATCTCACTTTGTTGCCTATGCCTGGATTGGTCTCCAAATTGAATTCTCCTGCCTCAGCCTGCAGAACAGGTGGGCTATATGCACATGCCACCATGCCAAGATTTTCTTATGACATAGCATCATGTAGGAGGATCAAAAATAGATGCAGGTAATTCTGCCAGCAGGTGCTCTGGCAACACCCCACGGGAGGATAATAAAGGGTCTTCATAGACCAACACACAAAATGGTCTTTCCCCCAAAATTTTAATGGTAATGGTAGCATGAGCTTACTTAGTTTTTCTCTCCGCCCCTCTTGTAATCTTGAGATATATATTTCTCCCTTTCTCCCCATCTTCCTACCCTGTCCAAATTTCTGACTATGTCGTTGAGTTGTCCTTGACTCCGTCCTCCAGGAATGGGATTGTCCTTAGTCACGTGTCTCCACTGATTGGTTCAGAGATGAGCATGAGACAAGTGTTGGTCTAAGCAGAAGAAAGTCCAATGGGCGAGGAAGCAACAGATACTTTCTTCCAGGAGACAAGAATTTGCCATTCCGATCACTGCTGGCCACCATGTTGCAGAAAGGAGGAGAAGCAGTCTGAAGAACTGTCAGAGACACCATGGAGAGAAGGGGACTGACTGAGGAACCTGGTGACATTGTTGAGCTTCTGAGTCAGTTCTCACAGTGGACTCTTTCAGCTCTGGATTATTCTAGTGGTTTTTTCCTTAATTATGGGTGTCAGAGCTTGGGTTTTTAAATCATCCAAACTGGGTCAGTTACCAGCATAGCATCAACTCATAGATCTTCAACTACTTTCTATGGACATGTATAGGATCCTTTCCCATGCCAGGACTATCCTATTAGAGACCCTTCCAGGAACTTATCCATAAGAATTTTAGGTCAAGAGCTGAGTTCTGAATGAGTTGGCAGTCTCACAAATTATGTCATGTTTTGGAACAAAGACTCAACCAACAGAAGAGAGAACCTCACCCCAGGATCACCCAGGTCCTCTCAGTGCTTTGGACCTAAGGATGAGTCCTGTGCTGTCCACTTCCTCCTGGTCACCCTGGGGTTGGACCTGAGCAAGGACAGCTTCTTACAGACGCTCTTCTTTATTCTCTCCTCCTGGAAGTGTTGGAAGAACCAGTTAAAACCATATCACCATTCAAAGCTGATTTGTTTCACCATTAAGGCTTTTGTGAGAAAATCAAGAGAGGGTCCAAGAAAGTGTCCTACAGAGTCAGCCTGGGAAGTCCTTTAAGCAGACGTTAGGTACGCTGCTTTACTAAATGAACTCGTTTATACCCTGCCCCTACAAAATGATTGGAGGTGACTTTAGGACAAATAAGATTAAGAAAATGGATAAAACCTTGGGCCGAGTGATGAGGGTGCATGCCTTTAATCCCAGTACCGGGGGTGGGGGTGGGTTTTGGGTGGAGGGGGTGGAGGGAGCCAGGCAGATCTCTTGAGTTCAAGGCCAGCCTGGTCTACAGAGTGAGATCCAGGAGAGTCAGAACTGTTACACAGAGAAACCCTGCCTCAAAAAAAAAGAAGTGAAGGTGAGGATAGAAAATATAGTACTAATAAAGTATATAAAATACGAAGTATATAAAAATAAAGTATCTAAAATAGTTTCTGCAGTATGCCACCACTGTTCCTCTCTGACCTCCCATGTTAGTCAAAGCGCACATGGAAATAGTCTCTAAAAGATCCAAAGAGTCCAATGGATCTGTTTAAAGGAGAGGAAGGAGACAAATAAAACTAACGTTTTTCCTGATTTTTTTCCCCCTTAGAAAACTTTGTCCTAAGAAAACCCTGCTGGAGAGCGCCCCCAGTTTTTTTAGAACCTGTTCAACCCTGCTGGAGAGTGCCCCCAGTGTCGGATTCTGGAAAACGCGCTCCAGCCCTGACCCCTTGGTTCAGAGCAGTTTCCCAAAGCCCAGCACTCAATAAAAACTTGGTCTCAGGGTAGTAAGTACTGGGGACAGGTGCTGGAGTCTCAGGTCGTGGGGATTACCATTCAGATGTCAGGACAGGATGTGATGCTGGGGAACCTTTTGACGGTTGAGTTTACAACACGGGTTCTTCCTAGAATAGGGGCTTTATTTTCTGGAAATGTCTGAGTTATAAATACACTTTGTTTTTGATTAAGGGAAAAGGTATGACGTCATCTCATGAAATTTAATCTAGTGAACAGATGAAGACTGAACCCTGCTAGGCACTATCCAGTGTCTACTAGGAAGAGGTCTGAGGTGCTCGGAGTTGAGCTCACTCTGAAACCTACACATAGGTCAGGCAAGGCCTAAGCTGAAGCAGCAGGAGTTTTAGAAGTACCAGGAAAGTCCAGACCCTCGTGAATACACCAGCTTTGCCTCCATCCAGGGAAGCACCATACTAGGCATGCTCCCTGACCTCGAAGTTTAGAAAGACAATGCCTTATTCACAGAATAATTCTAGAGGCCAGGGCTGTCCCCACTGACTTGCTTTTTAATTATGCAACTACTGTAATGATTAAAAAAATATTTTTATAGAACAGAAATTCATAAACAGATTTTTCTCGCTCCAGTTAAAACTTGCCCATCTTTAAAGCTCTACTCAGTGGCTCTCGCCTCCTGAAGCATCCAAAATAACCTCTTCATCAGAAGTCCCATAGCACACTGAGCCACTCCCATCAGAAGACCCACGGCACGCTGAACCTCTCTTTATACTTCTTCACCCCACTTTGGCAAGACAGTGAGTATCTCATTGCCCATCCATCAGCCTTTCCTTCAGGGTCCAACATGGCCTACTTGGTACCTGTGGCTCTGGTACCTAACTCTCTCCCAGTCAGCCATGTACCTCACATGAAGAATGAGTAGGGAAGCCAAGCAGAGCCAAAGAGAGCTTTTGAATCCAGGCCCTGGAGAGGTCTTCCTAAATTCCTAAGGAGATGCATTTTCTCTTCATTGGGAAGTCAAAACTGTACCAGTATGGCCCATGGGCGCTTCATATCCATGAACTAATGAAGAAGGTAAAAAAAAAAACTCATGGAAAAATGGAGATGCACAGATGGATCCAGTCCCCAAACACTGGACTATTAAGTCCTAACAGCCAGTGGTTTCTTGTTTTGCTTAAGCCAGGCAGAGTGGGATTCTCTGGACCCCATTATATTTACACATGCCGGAGGGATGAGGCACACTCTCATCCAAAGCAATAGCTAAGTGCAAAGGCAGGATCCAAGAGCCCACGTATCCCCTGTGGATCAGAAAAGATGAGATGAGCTTAACTCTCCAGCCCACAGCTTCCCACACAGCACACTGCCCAAACAACACAATGCAACAGGATTTTATTGGTAGGGCCCTTCGTTTGTTGAGTGAAACCAATTGCTTAAGTGTCTTGAGTATCTATTAAATCACGAGTCAATAAAACAATCCTGTTTATGAGCCGTTGCTGTTTTTGTGCCATCCTGTAACCACGTATTGGGGAGCAGATGGTCCCAGGGACTCTGAGTTCCCTAGCCCAACAGCCTCGCTCTGCAAGTGCTGCGCCCCCTGCCGCAGGACCGACGAGCTCCAGGTAATCTATATTTATCAATAAAGTACTAACATTGTAAAAATAAGGCAATTAGACTCCAATGACAGAGCTAAATATTATGTCACTCTATGAAGCGAATGGCATTGTTAGTCATTTCTGCAGATATGATTTGCTTCATAAACGCCATGTTTTGAGGCATTGGAACTCAGCAGGGATTCTTTGTCAACAATCTGCCATTGCTAGCTAAATTAAGTAATCATCTGGCTACTATATTTAGAATGTGTGCACAGGCAACAGAATGTATAGTGAGCTCTAAACACCGTGTTTGTCTTCAGGGGACCCCACAGTGGAGGAGTCGGGAGGTCTCTGCTTTGAAGAGAAAACAGGCTTTCTATTAGAAGTCACTGGAAAGAAGTTACCTCTGCCTCCAGGAAGACCAGGGTTTTAGCAGGTTGCTTACAAAAACAATGTAGAGTATTCTTCCAATTTTCTTAAAGGAGCCTATTCATTTTAAATTCTTTCTCTCCCTACCTCTATCCTCAGCAAAAGTTTTAAAAGTGTCTTTGCTCCAATTCTCTCAGACCCCCTCCTTCTGTGGAGGACGCCCTCTGCTCCCAAGTTAAGAGTTTGTGTTCATTTTGTAGTATTTACTATGTACTTATTAAATCCTAGGGAGAGCAGGCATTTTACAAGTATTATCTGATTAAATAAGATAAGAGTGTATGTGCATGCATGTGTACACAATCCATGCATGAGTGTTGCTTCCTGTACTTAGGACACACCTGACAAGGTATGCACTTGTGCCCATTCTCTAAGTATGGAAACCAGGGCTCAGAAATAATAGAAACTTGCTGGACGTCTCACAGGAGGTAAAAAAGCAGAGCTCGATACAGCAGCGTCCAAGGACACTGTACTGCTCGGTGACTGTCTCCTGTTTAGTTCATTTTCTCCTGTACTTACCTTCCTTACTTTAATATGGGTCCTCTTCCCTATATTTGCTTCTGTCTGTTGCTACCCATGGAAATGGGTTTAAAAACCCAGCAAGTATTTCAGGAGATGTTCCTGATCCTCTGAAATAAATAAATAAACCCAAGTCCATGAAAGCTAGCCAAAAAAAAAAAAAGATGAACAGAGGAATAGATGCTCTGAGCCCCGCTGGCCTGGCCTGACTTGCCTAGGCCTGCCATGCCACTCCTGAGGACTGCTTATTTTCATGTCTAGGCTATAGCTCTCTGCTGGGGACAAAAGACTTTGGGACTTTGCTGCTTCTAAGACCTGCTTGCAGGGACGGGACGAGTGAGGAGAGTTTGGGCGGCCAGGACTGAGCCTGGGGACCTGGAACATCAAGTCTTCACATCCGATTTCCAGGCTGTCGTTAGCCCTGGGCACCAGCTCTGTGGACAGCAGGAGAATGAACCTCCTGACTCTCCCTCAGAGAGATGAGATGCTGGAAGCTCCACGGGGCGGTGGAAGTGAACTTGGCAGGCATGGGCTGGCAGTTTCAAAGCTGCTGCTTAAAGAAAGTCCTAGTGATGCACAACATCTGTCCCAGAGCCCGAGAGGACCACTAGAGCTGACAGTGTATCCAGAGGACAAATATCATCAGCTTCTACTTGTACTGATTCTGGACTTAATTCCCTTGTGGTCAGGGAACATGCTCATCATGATTATAATCCCTTTCAATACTTCAATGTTAACTTTATGGCCTCCTCAGTACATGGTGTATTTTTTTGGTGATTTTTTAAAAAAGATATACAGTTGAATATGTATCTTGATATAGTTTGGTGGACTATTCTCTAAAGCTCTCTATAAATAATCGATCGGATTGCTGGATAGTGAGCGGGTGGCTAGGCTTGCTGAGGTTTGTCTGGTTTCAGAGATCACTGTTCCCATGAGCAGCTGGTCATCTGTTCCTTCTTTGTTGCCACAGTTTGCTTTGTGTATTTTAAAGCTCTGATACTGAGGGCACACGTATTTAGGATTTCATATTTCTTGGCAAATTATTTCCTGAATCATCACAGATATCCCCCTTTATTTCTAGAAATAGGTTTTGTCCCAAAGTTTATATTACAACAAAAGCCCCAGTATTCTTTGAATCATTTTAAAATATTTTCTAGTCTTTGACAATTTCATGCATGTAAACAATATAACTTGATAATAACCAACGCCATTTTCTTCCACCTTTATCTTCTCCCCTCCCCCTCCTCCTCTTCATCCTCCTCCTCCTTCCCAGGAGTCCACTTCGTGCTGCCGAAGTGCGCATGGGCATAAGACCATCCACTGGCACATGGGCAATCTACCAGCAGCCACACCCTTTGAGAAAAATGACTCTCCCTTTACCAGCAGCCATCAGTTGCCAATAGCTCCCCAGCTAGGGGAGGGGTCCAGTGAGTCCTTCTCCCATCCACGCGGGAAGGCTGACTGGCTTCAAGTTTGCAGACCTTGTGCAGGTAACCACAGCTGCTGTGAGCTCATGAGCGTAACATCCACGCCATATCCAGAAACAGAATTTCTCACTCTTCCCCATACTCCAGCCCTTATATTATCCTGCCTCCTCTTCTCCAGTGTTCCCTGAACCCTCGATAAGGAGCGGTTAGCATAGATAGACCTTTAGTGAACGCTCAGTGTTATTTATTCTCAGCACAAGTTATGAGTCTCTGCATTAATCACTGCCCACTGCAAAACGAACCTTCTCTGACCAAAGTTGAGAGCAGCATTAATCAATCTATAAACACAAATGTTTGGAAGGCCGTTTGACAACATTTCCAACAAAACAGCAGTAGTAGATTACCCAACAGGACCTCTGACCCCCCTCACCATGGGCTTTTGACCAGGTTTAAAGTATCAGGCATGAATTCCCTCTTGTGAAGTAGACCACAGATCCAATTGCAAAGCAGCTGATTCCCCCTTAACAATGATGCCATTATTTCACCAATAGGTTTATCTTGCCTGGCAGGTCTGTAAAGCACGTAGGAACCACTGCTTGTAAGACAGCTAATATCTTTTCTCCCCAGCAGCTGATACAGCACCTTCCAGCCAGGAGGAAGTTTCCAGGTCAGTTTTAGCTTGATTTCTCTATGACCTACTTAAACACCTAACCTTCGGTGCCGCTCCTCACTACTTTCATATCTACCATCCTCTCCTCCATTAAGGCCTCCTCTTCCTCTCTCCTTTCTCAGGGGCTCTTCTGGCTTCCTGGCCTCTCCCGGACACCCCAATCTTAAGCTATGTGCCTGTGATAGCTAATCTTGATCTCCAAGTTGACACACTTGGGAAGAGGGAACTTCCTCCATCAGATTTGCCCATGGGCATGTCTGCAGGAGCATTTCTCGACTGCTAACTGATGTAGGAGTGCCCCGGTCACACAGCAGGGCCACCTGTGAGCCCGTGGTCCTGGGTTGTAGAAGAAGGCTGCCTGAGCAGCAGCAGGAGGATCGAACAGTGTTCCTCTGCGCTCTCTGCCTCATTCCCTGTCTCTGTGTTCAGGCTACGGTCCTGCCCTGGTGCTTCCCTCCACGAGAGACTGTAACCTGTCAGCCAGATGGACCCTTTCCTCTCCCATGTTACTGTTGGTCATGGTGTTTACCACAGCAACATAGTGGCATCTGTTGGGCGGATGGGGCTTGAGTTGTCTCTCTATATTTTCCATTTCTATTCATTTTCCTGCAAATTTCATTTTTCTTTGTACCAATCCAATTGTATGTATGTACCACATTTTCATTTTCCATTCATCAGTCAATAGACATCTAGGCTGATTTCTATGGTGATACTGTGTAACCCAATATATTGTGCACCTTAATAAACTTATCTGGGGTCAGAGAACAGAACAGCCAGCTAGATAGACACAGAGGCCAAAAAATGGTGGCACACATACCTTTAATCCTTGCGTTCTGGATGCAGAGATCCATGCGGATCTCTATGAGTTCAAAGCCACACTGGAAACATCCGGGCATGGTGACACATGCCTTTAATCCCAGGCAGTGATTGCAGGAAGCAGAAAGGTATATAAGGAGTGAAAACCAGAAACCTGTTTTCTAGAGCCTGGTTAAGCTTCTAGACTTTTGAGCAACAGTTCAGCTGAGATTCATTCTGGATGAGGACTCAGGAGATTCCAGTCTGAGGAAACAGGATCAGCTGAGGAATTGGCCAGGTGAGGTTAGCTGTGGCTTGTTCTGTCTCTCTGATCTTCCAGCGTTCACCCCAATACCTGGCCCCAGGTTTGATTTTATTAATAAGAACTTTTAAGATTCCTGCTACAGATTTCATTCCCTAGCTACCGTGAAGAGACCAGCAATGAACATGAGCATAGACGTGTCTTTGTAGTAGGGTGTGGGGGAATCTGAGACCACCCTGAGCTACATAGTGAGATCCTGTCTGGAAAACGTAAAATAAAAAAGCTATTTTAACTCCCACTCTTGCTAGTTCTACCTGAAAAAGTTGCCTCTATCTAGACACTGATTTTTTTTTTCTTCTGATTACGGGTTACATTTTTCTTCTTTGTAGCTAGTCTGGTGGTTTTCCTCATCCCTCGGATTCTAGACATTATGAATGTAATGTTGCTGAATGTCTGGATGTTTGTTTGTTTTCCTTTAAATGGTATTGACTTTGCTTCGACAAACAAGCTCCTTGCTCTTCCACTTGATACCCGCCCCTTGACTTTTCTCCACCACATGCAACACTGTTTCGTTTTAGGAGCGGTCCGATTTTATTTCCAAGGCATCCCCTATGGACTTGACCAAATTACTTTGGGTGATCATTCAGCTTCCTGGCTGAATGGCTAATGTTTTAGATGTCCCCTGCCCTATGAACATGGCAAGTCCCTGACCATGCTGTGTTGTGGCTTGTGGAATCTTTATCCCATGCATGCACAGCCTAAAAGCCAGCAAAGACTCAAGGGCTGTCCACGCAGATTGATGGAGCTCCATTTCCCTGTAGTGTATTCCCCTTCGGGAGGTGAGCTTTTTAACCTCCAGGCTCCTCAGCCTCCCAGCCTCTTTCTCAGTAGATCTGTTCTACTTGGGTTGAGTCCCTTCTTGTACTGTAGTCTGAAAACTATCTGTGGGAACCAACCGAAGTTGGTAGTGGAACCCACCATTTCATTTTTATCTCCTAAGCATCAGAGTTCCGAGCTCTTCAAGCCAATGTCTATGAATAGTTATCTGCAGGGTCCAGTTTCCTGGTTGCTTGTGGCAGAAAGGCAAATTTGGTTCCTGTGGCTCATCCTAAAAGGGAATGAGACCAGGGAATGCCTTAAAATTTGAACCCAAACCAGGCTGGCAGAACACCAGAACCAACGTAGCGTCAGTCTTTTATCCTTGATGTTGGTGGTGACTGCCTCTCATCCCATTGGCGGGAGATAACTTCACACTCTGACATGATTGGCTAATTAGCTCAAAGGGGGAGAGAAAAGGTCAGGAAATATGACTGCTTGTCAAGCTAACTACTTTTACTTTGATTTATTTGAGTTTATGTTGAATTGTTTTGTTTTTATTTTGCACTAGAGGAAATGATGGTGTAAAACTCCTCCAAATATTCAAGCCCCAAGCAACTTGTAATTGACAAGTTTCTCTTTCAATATGCAAAGCCTCTAGTTACTTGTCTAGCAAGAAGCTTGTAACTTTAGGGAGTTCCTCCTAAATGTTAAAAGACTCAAATGTGCTTGAGTAGGGAACCCAGGTGATCCCAGACATCATCTGTTGGTAAGTCCATTACTAGGATGGAATTCAGAAGCTATGCCCTCTGTAGTCCTGGTTCCTACCCCCAGTTCAGACGTCTGAGGCTCCCATGATACCCCAGACTCCAACTGCATTTCAGACTTCATATCCTGCCCTATGGGCTTCTCTTGGTCACTATTTTGAACATCGCATTAATGACATAACCTCCACATTCCGTCCTGGGACTATGACCTGCAGACAGGTGGATGACTCCTGGGGTCGTCAGGGTTATTTATGCAAGCATATCTGAGTAGTCTTTCACATTTGTGAAGAATTCCTTAATAAAAATGTAATTCAAAAACAAAACAAAGAAGACTTCTTTGATGACCAGAAAATATCACAGATGCGGGCAGAGGACATGATTTCCCAAAGCCACTGAAAACCATGTGTCTATTAAACCAGAGTATCATCTAGAGGTCTCCTCAGGGGGCTGGTATGAAAACCGGCAGATGCAATCAGGCCAGAGTCTCCTGGAAACATTCGCCACCCCTGGCCAGCAGCCCTCGGTAGCTTTGGTTTTTATTATTCTTAGGAAAATCTTTATTTCTCTGATTTAACTGATAACTCTGCTTTGTGGAAGGTTTGCCAGTGAGATCCATTCAAAATACCAGATATTAACACATGAATGAACTTCTCAGTGTAAAATGGCTCCAGCTGCAGTCTGACTCATAGACGGGCTGAGAAGGGGGGGGGGGGGAGAGGAGAGCAATTTAGTAAACTGACATGTGCAGATCAATAAAATGCATTAAATGCCAGCGGCTTGAGGAGGGTGTCAGCGATTGAAACGGCCTCCAAGGTTTTCTTAAACATATGTAAATAGGGGTGTGGATTGTCTGTGTGAAATAGACAGTTGAAGGCATGTGAAGCGGGCACGGGAAAGGGAACAAATGAGAAACTTCCAATTCCCTCCCTTCCCTACCAGCCCGATCTGCCCCACCTTCCCTCAGACCGAAACACAGTATCTGTGATCTCAGGTACCGTGAGCTCCTTGCTCACATAAATAGTTGAGAAAGCACTCTAAACTCTTCAGGAATCCCTAATTCCTTCGGGTGTAATTTCAGAAGCCTCATTTTGTAGGTACAAGGAACCCGGTGAAAATTTCACACATAACTGTTTGATCTATGAATTCATATTCCTGGCAATAGTAACACAGCAGACTCTAACCATAAACCAAACCCCTATAACATGCCCCCTTGGTTACATGGCTCTCTGGTGTCTTCGACTATTTTTTTTTTTAATTCACTTATGCAATGTTGCTGTTTCCTGGACAATCTGAAAGATCCCCTATGCTTTCAAGTCGAAGTGTGATGGGATTTGCTGGGAGTTGGTGAGCGTGCACAAGGTGTTGATCCTTGTTAACCATCACTGCTGGCAGCACGGTCCTCTGCTCACACAGGTGCATGCCGCTTGGGACACTCTTCTTGACTGTGGAGTGTGTGTGCAAACCCGAAACTACAGCTGCTTGTGGTTTTGACACACTGAACTGTGGACTACAAGACGTCTTTGCTCGACATTTGCCTCCTCATCTCCAGCTACCGCTCATTATCTTGCCTTCTTCTCACTCCCCCCTCCCCCCTTCCCGTTTCCCACCATCCACTCTGTAATGACCAAGGTATCTACTGTGGACCTGTACCTAGCGTGTGCGCAGCGGCTTCTCCACCTCACTCCAATTACCTCTCTGAACAGTGAGTGTGAGGGCCTCGGCCTTGACGTCTTTGTCCGTTGTGTCCCCTGAGCGAGGTGTGATGTCTGACACTTGGGTCTGACATTCACAGACTGCCTTGATGCTCAGACTTAACAGCCACTCAGCACGGGCGATGCGCTTTGTGTGTTGGTACCAAATCCAGAAGCAATCGTAGCTTTCCACAGAGCCTCTGTCCCTTAGAGACTAGCCAGCTTAGTATTCCTGAGAGCATACTGATCCGTTTTAATTGTTTTATCTGTTTGTTTGTTTGGTGGGTTGGTTTTTGTTGTTATTTTTTCCTGCATAACCAATGTCAGTAACTCTTAGGCTATTCAAGAACCAAATAGTGTGTGGGGGATGTCTTGTGCTGTTTTGTTGGAGTCTCACTATGTAGCTCAGGCTAGTCTCAAACTCTCAAACTCCATCTCCTCCTGCCTCAGTCTCCTGAGTGCTAGGATTACAGGCATATGCCACCATGTCAAGCTATGGGTTAATGATGCAGATTCTGAGGCTCCATTTTCGGGTTCTAACAGGTCAGATGAGGCCCAGGAAGCTTCGATCTCGGCAGCAGTGCTTCTGTGGTCCAGGACACACACTGATCGTGTGTTGAGAAGCGCTGCTCTGCATACAACTTAGATGTTAACAGATGCACCATTTGGGCTCTTAAATAAGACACATTTTTTAAATGGTCTTTTATAAAGCCAAGCATAGTAACACACATCTTTAATCCTAGTACTTAAGAGGCAGAGGCAGGCAGAGCTCTGTGAGGCCAGCCTAGTCTATATAGTTACTTCCGGGCTAGCCAGAGCTACATAGTAAAACCCTGTCTCAAAAAAAAAGTGTGCTTATAAATAAGTAAACAAGATATTAACACTCTTGATTTTGTATCAAAGGATATTAATAAATAGTGAAATATCACCTGTATCTGGCTAGCTAGCATTATATCTACTTCATGTACTAGTGTGACCTTGACAAAATTCCTGCAACTCAGAGAAAACAGCCCAACATAAGATGACATGTTCTGGCCAAGCAAGGAGACACCTGAGCAGAGAAAGAAATGGATTTGTTTTCCTATCTAAACAAAATATGAAACTCCATCCCATTTTATTTGTTCCTAAAACATAATCATCGAAGCTCCATCGAATCTGTCAAATATTAGAGATACACTTGACCTGGAGTGAAGTATTGGGAATTTTTAAGCATTTAACTCCTAGTGTGTATTGGTATGAAACTAAGTTGAGCAGAACCCATTAATGTCACAGTGATCGGTTACCAATGGAAATAAATAATTCATGATGAAGGGAATTAGTCTAATTAGCAGGCAGTTTGAGTCCTTTGATAAAACCGGGCTCTAATTCCGTGAAGGGCAGGGAGGGCTGTCATCAGTCAGCCCTGAAAAGATTAGCATCTATTATGAATGAGGTTCGTCACCCTAGCGAAGTCATGTGCGTCCTGG